ATTTTCACTATACAAATCTCTCTACGGGTTCAGTTGATTTGACTGACCTCGTAACCACCATAAAAAAATTAGGAAATAAATATAAATTATTCCTTTTTCGTTCTAGAATGAACACAGATTATAATACGAAAAAACAAATGTTCAGACTAAATAGCTTAAATCTCATAACATTATACATTTATATATGTATATTATTTTTATTATATTGATCTTTCAGCCATGTCTGGCTAACAACACAGGAGTTACAATGATACTTGTTTCCTGAGGATGACGTTGTAACGTCGAAACATGTAGAGTCGTCAACTTTTTTGAAGGCCATATATAGGCCTAAATAAAATGTTTTTAATTGTGTACCAGTTTAACATTGAATATTATTTATGATTTTAAATATATATATATACTTTTAAAAATATAGTGTGGATGACACATTGTTATACACTCTTGCTTATCGTTGCTCATAATTAATTAGAAACAAACTACATATAAAATAATTAAACATATATATCATAATCTAGAAAAATAATAAACCATTTCACATGAGCATACAGTAATATATAATACATACCATAACCTAGATAAATAAGAAACTGCCTATTCCACTTAAGCACACAGTAATAAATACATATATACAAAACGAATATCCCTATCAGACCTGTTTTTTCCAATACTAATGCTCCCGCTTATAAAACAGCACAGAAAGCCTAATATATTTTCAATAATCTGACTGGTTTTAAACCTAAGTTTGGTATCAAAAAACTTTCTGGAGCTTGTAGGAAAAATAAAAAATGTAGAGATACCGAATAATTCCAAAATTGTTTCTTTTGATGTTCGTAGTCTGTTCATCAGTATACCTGTTAGTGAACGTAAAGAAACTGTTAGTGATGTAATGGATATAGAAAAAGTAAACCCTGTTCCAGTCCAGGAATTAAAAACAATAATATCCACCTGCCTACATCAGAACTACTTCAAATTTAATTACCAAATATATAAACAGAACGATGGGTTAGCTATGGGTTCCTCCCTCTCTCCTTTGCTTGCAAAAGTCTTCATGGGTGATTTAGAGAAGAGATTGTTTAGTGATGAAAATAATACAAAACATGTTAAATATTGGTACAGAGATGTTGATGATGTGACTCGATAATTTTGTAACTTTTCTAAACTCACAAAACAAATTTATTAAGTTTACTCTTGAATTTGGTGAAAATGGAAGCATTTATTTTTTGGACTTAAATGTTGACATAAATAACGGCACACATTCCTTCAAAATCTCCCGAAAACCATCTTATAGTGACATCATCATAGATGCTTCTTCAAGCCATTCAATATCTCACAAACTTGTCATGTTCCACAGTATGATACACAGACTTATCACGGCACCCTTGTCATCTGATGATTATGAAACTGAATTAAAAGTTAATTAACACATTGTTGTTTACAAAACTGAAAGCTATAAATTTAAAATCAATATACCCACATACTGTACCCACATACTGTACCCAATGAAAAAACAAATGGTTTAAGATGAACTACATTGGAAAACTTCTCACAAAATATATAACACCTTGAACAAAGAAATCTACAGACCAGCCTTCTACTGTAAAAACAACCTAGGAAAAATGTTGTGTAACAACAAAGACAGAATCGAAAAGTACAGCAACAGTGGTGTTTACTAATTAACGTGTCAAGACTGCAACAATGTATATATATAGGTCACACAAGATGTTCTAGACTCTAGAGAAACGAGAATTAAAGAACATTCTAGAAGCTGAAACTTAAGTAAAGTGAATTCAACCTTTGCATCTCACCTTAATGAAACTAAACACCAATTTGATTCAGAAAAAAACTGCAAAATTTTACAAAACAAATCTAGAAAAAGTTTTAAACAACCAAACTAACTAAAGCTCCTCCCCACTTGTCTCTAGGTGGATGTCGAGGTCACTTACAGTTCTTTGTTTAAAGATATATATAAACCCTGCCATGAAACATTCCATTCTGTACCCGATGATGCCTTTACTGGTGAAGCCATGGTTGTAATAAATGATGTATTTCTGAAACGTACAATTGCCTTGTTTTTCCTCAATTCTGTAATTATGGAGTTTCACCAAATACTGACGATTTCAAGTATCAATTATAAGAAACCATCCATTCCACTTGAGCACATATACATACATATAACCTACAGATACAAGAAACCATTCCATTCGATCATACTGGCACATCTTCTGATAAAAGAATTCGATTGATATGGAGTTTTATATATTTCACAATATATTTACTACTAATGTAAAAATGTTCACATACCTTTAAATCTCTGTATATAACTCCAGCATTATGAAGGAAATCTAGCAAAAGAATGTACAATTATTAATAAAAATGGACCTTGTAAATTTAACTTAAATACACTTAATTTCAAAGGCAGTGAAAAAACTATTTTTTCTATTTCTCTGCTATTTAACAGTCCCACCCCCACTTAGTTATGACAGTTTTTGCCAACATAAATGATTTTCACAACTAAGTTTTTTTTTAACAATGTGTGTGAACATAAAAGGAACTAAAATTTAAAAACAGACTTTAAATGTGTTTATCTTACCTATTGTAAGGGCTAATTCAGCTACGTAGAACTGGACTAGCTCTTCGTTAAACTTTCCGTAAGTTTTCCAAACTTTCAGCAATTCTCCGTGAGGTATATACTCTGTCACTGAATAAAATATAATAAAATGCTTGAAACTGTATTCCATAAAAACAAAATATTTACAGTACTTATCAAAAATTATCCTCAAATATTTATGATATTAAAAAGTAAAGTATCATACTAAAAAAAAAAAATCAGGATATAATCAGTAGAGCTGAAGGATTAACTCGATTAACTATAGCATTGACTAAATTGATTAGAATCCCCCAAAATAACTGACTAACCAAAAATATGATTAAATTGACTAATATCATGGAAAATAATCAACTAATCAAAAATGCATGATGAAACTTAGTTGAATGGACGGCAACAGCCTGTTGTAGAAACACAAGTGTAAAGGATGACATTTCCAAAGTCTTCCGCCTTTCGTCTTCAGGTCAGTGCATCCAATCCGATCCATGGCAATAATTTAGGTTTAAGATTTTTGAAGCCTCAAAGAAAATTTGGGGCTTAAAAACAACCCGGTACGATTAGAAAGTTTAGTGTCTCTTCACCCCATGCAGTTAAAAGGTTTAAGCAAAACGGATGTGAAAAAAGCCTCTGGGCTTAATTTTGTTTAAACGTGATGAGTGTTTTGTTGTGATTCGTGGTAAAATGTTGGCCCGAAGGAGCCGAGAGAGCTGTGAAGAGACTGTTGAATGACAGCCATCATAGAAGCACGTGTTGTTGTTGTTTATCCACGTGTCCGTGACATCAGTCGACAAGGAGTGGAGCAGAGCGATGCATACTGAGTGAGTGAGATGGCATTTGAATAGTTTCCAAAAGGATCGATTTAAAGAAAAGAACACTTTGGAAAGTTAAAGTGATATTATAGTTGAAGTGAGTTTGTTGGACTTACAAGATTGACAGCCCTATTTAGGGGGCTTGGATAAAATTATCGATGCCCTTAAAAAAAATTTGATGCAGGGGGAAACTGGAGTACCCGGAAAAAAAAACCTGTTTTCACGGAGCAGGCACTGAATAATCTACCTGATCTGTGCCCGAGATATGAGGCTGAAAAGACAAAGAAGTTACTAACATATATTTTTTAAGCACTCTACTACTGTACGTTGAGTTGTGATTTTATGTAATTGAGAGGTGATATATAAGTTTGCCATGTAGCAGGCATGGCTGCTAGTGACTGGAAGGTCCTAGTCTGACTATTGTGAGTGTTTGCTTTGTTGTAATATTTTTCAGCAAGTTTGTGAATTTGGTCTTTTACCTGGTCAGTGTGTGTATGTTGTTGTTGGTCTTATAGTATTCTGGTGGATTATGGAGAGCATGTTATGATTAGTTGGTTTATCTATGTTTCTAATCGGTGGAGAGACTTCCTGAAACTCATTCCAGTTTCCACACATGTGGATGAAACACATTCCAGTTTCCACACATGTGGATGAAACTCATTCCAATTTCCACACATGTGGATGAAACTCATTCCAATTTCCACACATGTGGATGAAATTCATTTCAGTTTCCACACATGTGGATGAAATTCATTTCAGTTTCCACACATGTGGATGAAACACATTCCAGTTTCCACACATGTGGATGAAACACATTCCAATTTCCACACATGTGGATGAAACACATTCCAGTTTCCACACATGTGGATGAAACACATTCCAATTTCCACACATGTGGATGAAACTCATTCCAATTTCCACACATGTGGAGGAAACTCATTCCAGTTTCCACACATGTGGATGAAACACATTCCAATTTACACACATGTGGATGAAAGTCATTCCAGTTTCCACACGTGGATGAAACGCATTCCAGTTTCCACAAATGTGGATGAAACTCATTCCAATTTCCACACATGTGGATGAAAGTCATTCAAATTTCCACAAATGTGGATGAAACTCATTCCAATTTCCACACATGTGGA